CCAGTGCTCAGGATTTACAGCTGGCTGCACTGTGCTGACCACGAGAAGTTAGAAACATCTGTTACCTCGGTGAAGTCAGATTTCTTCTCTGGAACATCAGACTGGAGATTTTTAAGGGCAATTTGACCGTGAGTTCTGTACTGGTTGTCCGGCAATCCTAGGCAAAAGGAGATAATATTGCTACTTTGTAGTCTACGAAAGGATACAGTGGAGCATATAACTTTACTATAAAATTGAGTATCACCTAAAGTATTCTGTGAACCAACAGTGAATCCAGTATATTCTGACCCACGATAAAACCGTGTTTCCCTCATTCAGCCCGCCCTCTCCGTTTAAAGCTCTCCGAGTTCATTATTACTTAGTTTATTGGGCTACGAGCTTCCTTCTTCCAGGCACTTGTTTATGTTCCTAGACTCGGTCCTAATTAAACAAGTTTAGCTTCTGCACATTCACCAGCATCCTGAGTTTACACTCAGCAGAAGAGAGGATCCCTGAACAGTGTGGGGGTAAGAAAGGCTGACCTGCAAGATGGATTTACATCCAAACTCTCAACGCAACTGCAACCGTCCTGGAAGGAGCAGTGAGCGACTCAGACACTGATACTCAAGACGCTTGGGAACTTCTGAGGATGATGCTGTGAGGATCAATGGGACACCGTGGACCGCCTCCACACAAACATCAACCGCAGTGACAGCCCAAGAAGTCATCAGGTTCAAGTGCACAAGGTGGTGGAGCCCAGGTGCTGGTCCTGGCTCCCCATCAGCCAGCTTGAAAACGATGGACGTGCCTATGGAATCGCTCTGCGGAAGCTCCTCGTCCACTCAGCCTGCCCCGCACGCCTCACGAGCACTGGGCAGAGGGGAAAAGCACTCCGCGATGGAAGCCAGCGGTACTGGGACGCCTGCCTGGGCATCTTGCTAGTAATGCAGGTGTGAACTGAGCACGGGAAGGTGGGGTAGAGGAGAGTCTGTGTGGACGCGTCTCCACAGCCCAGGGTAACAGTTTTGCCTTCACAATGCCGCTATTCTGGGGAAAGTGATTTTTTTTCCCTTTTTTTGCAGGTGGGATGTAATTAGGTTTATTTATTTGGTTTTTCAACGGCGGTGCTGGGGATTGAACCCAGACCTTGTGCACGGTAAGCATGCGCTTTATCACTTGAGCTACACCCTGCCCCCCAAAAGTGATTTTTCAAAGGCTACAAAGGGAACAAAAGGCCAGGACCGGATGGCTTCACTGAGGAATGTGACCAAACACACATAGGAGAACTTACACCAATCGTTCTCAAACTCTTTCAAAAGACTGAAGAGGAGAGGACGCTCCCAGACTCATCCTATGAAGCCACCGTCACCTTGATGTGAAAACCAGACAAAGACGTGACCGAAAAAACAAAATCATAGGCCAAAGGCTGCAAAGGATGGTTTCGCAGCTGCTGGTACAGGTGATGAGAAAGAGACTTAAGGAAGCCATTCTCTACGATAGCATCCTGTTTTTATCAGTTCACGAGAAGGGTCTATTTAAACATTTAGATAGAATTTAAAACATTTTCTGGGGAAAATGATAAGCTGTAGTATTTTCAAGTCTGGCAGATTTGCAAAGGGGTCAGGACATGGCTCGAGGCAATTTCAAGGGCCACCACTGACCCATCCAAAACCTGTTCATGTCACAGCTCGCCCCTGGGTGACGACAGAGCCCCTGCCAGCTCTACTGAGATGTGTGGCTGTGCCTCCATCTGTACTGAGTGACAGAGACAGTCATCCAAGATGATGTGCACAGATTACTTTCTGCACAACGCAAATAGAAGACCTGAAAGATCTCATGGATTTCTCGGCAGAGCTGATGCATCATGATGAACTGACAATAAAGGTGGTGAAGAGAGACATCTCCTGGCTCTGGTCACACAGCATCATGTTAAGAACTCTGCAGGCGGCACAGGCTTCGGGGCCAGACAGGCCTGGGTCTGCATCCCAGCTCAGCCCCGAGCTCACCTGCAGTAGGTGAGTTGCTCCCCCCCTCTTAGTTTCTTCATCCACAAAATGCAGCCTCGCCATCCACACACTAAGGGTAACAAACGTCAAGTCCTTGGGCTGGGGTGGGATGTGGGGATGGTGCTGGATCAGTGACCCTGGTTGTGACTGCTAATGAGTGGGACCAAGGCAGCTCGTCCCCCTGCCCTGACTTGGGCCCAGATGGTCACTATCACCAAGGCATCAGTGGTCACTGGAATCAGACCACAGAGTCCCAGGGTCCCTGGTGACACATGCAACTTTGGGCAAGTGACTCGGCATCCCTTGGTTCCTGGCTGTGAAATGTGCTTACTGCACAGAGTGCCTGAAAAAGACTAAGTGACCTAAGTAACTAGTCCTGAGCACCGTGCCCAGAATCTGACAGCATGCAGTGAACGTTAGCTATGAAGAAGGGCCACCACCTCTAGCAGGGAGGAGGGAGATGGCTGTGATCAGATGACAGGTAGGGCTGTGTATGAGTGTCTTATGGCTGCTGTAACACACGGCCACCAACTCAGTGGCTTAAACAACACAGACGTTCTATCTCACAGTTCTGGAGGTCAGAGCCCAAGACGGGTCTCCCTAGGCTAACATCGAGGTGTCGGCAGGGCTGCACTCCCGTGGGAGAGTCTAGGGACACTTCTCAACCTCAAGAGGCTGCCATGTCACTTGGCTCATGGTCCCATGTCACCGCAGCCCTCGTTTCCGCCATCACATCTCCTGTGACCCTCCCACTTCACTCTTATCGGGACCCTTGAGATTAGATTGGACCTGCCAGAAAACCCGGGAAGGCTCTTAACTTGATGCCACCTCCAGAGTCCCTTCGGCCATGCAAGGCAACATATTCACAGGTCCTGGGGAGTAGGATGTGGGCATATTTCAGGGGACCATTACTGCGCCCATTACAGACCTAGTTGGGGAGACTGAAACAGGTGTATTGATTGGAATGCAGGGCCTTTAAAATGACGGCTAGATGGGAAAGTACGTACAATGCAGTATTTATTGAAAGAAAAAAATCAAAAGCATATAAACCCCGTGACTGCAACATTTGACATTTTTTCAAATGTGTGTGGGCATCTACACAAACAGTAGGTCGTAACTCAGAGTTACAAACCTATTTTTGGGCGAAATTGAGGTGTGACTATAGCCACGCGTGAGCGTGCCTGATGAATTAATGCCCCCAAAGGCATCAGGAGGGGAGCTACCAGGACGGTTAAAAGTGGAGACTTTATCATCTGATGCATTTTTAAATGTTCTTTACATGAAAATTTATTTTGTATTTTTAAACTTTTAGGGGCTTTATTTTTCTAAGTTAGTTAACTGTAGTTTAAAAAAAAGTATTTTGTATCTACTTTTGTCACCTCACCAGGATAAAATATATTAAAAGAAAAAAAAAAAAAGAAAAGTAGAGATGTGGGGGAAAGAAAGATCCTGATTCAAATCCATCTCTGACACTAACCATTTGGGCAGTTTAAGTCATTTTAGGCAAGTTGCTTAAATTGCCACATCTCCTGTCCCTTCCGCCCGACCACACAGTTGTCACCACTGGTAGAACCCCTTCACATTTGGTGGCCCCCCCCCCGGCACCTCTGGGTAAGGCAAAGCTGGTGGACATTTGGGGCAGATTAGCAGGGACAAGGCTGGTTTCCTAGCCGCTGGGGTCTGTGTCTCCCATACAGAACACGGCAGAACCCTGGCCTTGGTTTCTAGAAGAGCTCCTGCTGCAAGGTCAGGAGGCGGCCAGGCCAGTCTGCTGCTTCCCTGCACAGCGCAAGCTGGCCTGTCCCAGCGCTTCGCGGGCACAGATGCCTGTCCCAGCGCCATCCGCCAACTCCACTCTGCATCGGGAAATGGTCCTGGTTAAAAGGAAGCTGGCAGAGGGTGGGCAGGCCCTGAGCTCCTGTAGGACACATGCCAGACGGGGCTTCGTCCCTGGAGTCAGGCAGGTCCAAATGCTGGTGGTGCGGCTCTGTGAAGTTTACACAACTTCATGGACCCCAGCTTCGCTCCTTTGTTGTTAGAGCACAGAGCTGACCCTGTTCCTCCCCCATCCCATTCCCTCGCTGCCCTGGCTGTCGGGAGGGGAGCGGTCAGGGGTCCCGGCTTTGCTCTCCCCTGAAAACTGTCTTCTGTGAAGGCTGAGTCTTTCTCCACCTTGGCCCACAGCCAAAGGTGACTCTTAGGGGTACAAAAGCCAGGGCAACGCTGTTGTCTGTTCCAGAGCATAAACCGATGGCCACACTGCATCTGAGAGCCCCCCTTCCCCATCGGGCCTCCCTAATGCTCTCACAGTTCCTTCCCAAAAAGCGTCCCCACCCTCACGCCCCTCATCCCTGCCTCGGCTCTGCTTCTTGGAAACACAACATGGTTCCAGCTCACGGTGCTGACTCGCAGTGGGGGTTCCGGAAGTGGGGCCCCAGACCAGCAGCCTTACCACCACGGGGTAACTTGTCAGAAACATACGTTCTCTGAAGTGATGCCATGTGCAGCACCGCGGGTGGACCTAGAGTTTACCAGACTAAGTGAAGTCGGACAGAGCAAAACAAACAGCATATGATATCAGTTACATGTGAAATCTAAAAAAATGACACAAATGAACTTATATACAAGACAGAAATAGATTCACAGACATGGAAAACAAACTTATGGTCACCAAAGGGTTTGAAACGGGGGAGGGACAAATCAGGAATTTGGGATTAACAGATATATACTAATATACACAAAACGGATAAAACAACAAGGACCTACTGTACAGCACAGGGAGCTATATTCAATATCCTGTAATACACTATAATAGAAAAGAATCTGAAAAGAGCATATATGCACAGATATATGTATGTATGTATAACTAAATCACTTTGCTGTATACATTTAATTAAAAAATAGAAAGTAAAAA